TCCACCTGCCTCCCTCACCTGGCTGTAGTCTCCCTGTTCCTCAGCACTGTAATATTTGCTCACCTGAAGCCCCTCTCCATCTCCTCCCCATCTCTGGATCTGGCCCTGTCAGTTCTGTACTCAGTGGTGCCTCCGGCCCTGAACCCCCTCATCTACAGCCTGAGGAACCAGGAGCTCAAGGCTGCAGTGTGGAGACTGATGACTGGAGGGTTTCAGAAACATTAAAAGTTCTGAAACTTTTAATGGCCAAGTTCTGCAACTCACTTGTAATAAAAGTAATCTTTTATATTTCTTGTTAGTTTCACTTCTCAGGTTCTTTTTCTTTGTTTTACTATTTAAATATTATCCACAAAAAATTTCACTCTTTTTGCCATTTCTCATTTTGTTTCTTTCCATCTTCCCTGTGGCTACAGACTGTGACAATGAGGCAATCTCAGTGCCTTTAAAGGAAGTAAAGGATCTCCCAGCAGAGTTCTCTGCAGAGATGCCCTTTTGTTGCCTTCTCTGGAGCTGCAGCAGCAATGTCTGTGTGCAGAGCTGGGGCAGATCAGTGCTGGCCCAGCAGCTGTGCCCAGCAGCAGCAGCAGCACTTGGTGTTCCAGTGCTGCTGCCGTGGCCCTGCCCCGCTGCCCTGGTGGCCCTGGTGTTGCTGCAGGGCCTGAGTGCTCTCGGGGCCGGGCACAGTCCTGGGGGTGGCAGTGCCGGGGCTGCAGCAGGGACAGGCCATGGGCACTGCTGGGGCAGCGCTGACGCCTCAGGCCAGGCCCTGGGGGCTCCAGGCTCCTTGCCCAAGCTCTCTCAAGAACACACCCAGGCCAATGCTGAGCACAGAAAACCCCCAGGGTGAGCAGCCCCAGGCTGGGGGCAAACAGCATGGCTGGGGCTCTGCAAGGGCCCTGAGGCACACGGGAAGGAGCAGCAGAGCCAGGGCTGATCCATCCCCAGGGCGCTGCACAGCCCAGGGCAGCGTCCCAGAGCGTCCTCCTGGAGCTGCCAACAACATCCCTCCTCTGCAGCCCTGGCCTCTCCCCCAGCTCCCAGAGGTGCCGCATCCTTGCAGGCACAGACACGGCAGCCCTGGCTCAGGAGCCCCGGGTTGAATTGGAAACAGGGAGCACCCCCATCCTGCTGCTGTGGGGTCATGAACCTGAGGGAGCACAAATGCCACCAGCCCCTGGGGCCAGCAAGGGCTGGGGGACACCAGGGAAACCACTCGAAAAGCAGATCCTTTGGAGGCATGGTACCCCTGAGAGGATTGAGTCAGACAATGGGACTCATTTCAAGAACAGCCTTATCAACACCTGGGCTAGGGAACATGGCATTGAATGGGTGTACCATATCCCCTACCATGCACCAGCTGCAGGCAAAGTGGAAAGGTACAATGGACTACTAAAAACCCAGCTGAAAGCCTTGGGTGGGGGATCTTTCAAAAATTGGTAACAGCATTTAGCAAAGGCCACCTGGTTAGTTAACACCCAAGGTTCCACCAACTGAGCAGGTCCTGCCCAGTCTGAGTCTCTGAATATAACAGATGGAGATAAAGTCCCAGTGGTACTGTCAGAGGTTTGTTAGGGAAGACTGTGTGGATCAATTCTGCCTCGAGTACAGACAGACCCATTCTGGGTTGTCTTTGCTCAGGGACCAGGTTGCATGTGGTGGATAATGCAAAGAGATGGAACAACACAATGTATACCTCAGGGAGATCTGATTGTGGGTTGAGGATGATATGCAAATATCTGTTGAATGTTACTGCCATTGTCTGTACATTAAATCATACAGACATGAGATAGAAGAAAATGTGTAAGTGTTGAAGGTCTGAGCAAGTAAAAGATGGAGAAGCAAATGTGTAAGTATTGAAGGTCTGAGCAAGTGGAAGATGGAGTTTTGAGTGAGTAAAATGAAAGTGGGGAATCCTGCAGCTCTGTGGTATGGGGCCGGGATTCAGTGGTCTGGTGTGGGGGATGCAATGAGGGTATGAGAAGTATAGCTTGTAATTTTTGGAGGGGAACAAAAATTTAGATGGAAGTTTTACATGAATAAAATGCATGATGTGTGGTAGAATGTTGACGATATGGGGATAAGGGGTGGAATGTCCTAGGGTGAGGTTATGATGCTTGTATCCCCAATCGTGTGTTCTGTTGGTGCTGGATGTTGTGTACTGTGCCTTCAAGACTGGCTCTGAAGAGCAAGGTTTGTTTTGGTTTGTTATCAGCCTGCTCCCCCATGGCTGGCGGGACAGAGAGACGGGGAGAACATAGTGCGGCTTTTGCTTTTTGCTTTGCTTTTTGCTGCTTTGCTTTGCTCTTGCTCCTGCTTCGCTCCTGCTTTGCTCCCGCTCTGCTTTTGCTTTTTGCTTCTGTTAGTTTAGCTAAGCAGTCCAGATTTTTCCCTGGACTGTTTTTTCCCTTCCCTTTTTGGAACCATCCAAACCTGCTCTGGACTGGGACCTGGGAAACACCGAGAGTTTACATCTTGTGGCTGCAGCAGCTATCCCCAGCGCCGGAGGGAGCAACAACAGAGCAACCACTCCCAGGAAAGACTTTCTGAATTTGTCATCGTTTTCAGATCGGTGAAAGTGTTGTCATCTGGTATTGTTCATTTTGTGTGCTGGGGGTATTGTGCTTGTTAAATAAACAGGTTCTTTCCACTTCTCTCCGAGGAATCCTTCCCGAACCAGTGGGGGAAAGGGGTTGTGTGCGTTTGTTTTCTGGGGGAGCCCCTTTGAAGGTTTTCTCCCAGATTTACCCTAATCCAGGACAGTAAATGGCTTTGATTTTGGTTACAGGTGTCTCCTCTAACTCTTCACTGTCCTATTCTCTGAAGGATCAACTGAATCAATAAAAAATTACAAAAACAGTCAAAAGCACTCATAAGACAATTTTCAAAATGCAAACCTGAGTCCACAATGTCCAAACAGATCTTCTGGAGTGTCTTAGAGCTGGCAGGATGGATGTGGGGTTTTCTTAGCACGGTTTATCAGGAAACTGAGTCAGGAGAGGGTTTCTTCAGCAGGGACTGGTTCTCTGTCGCCTGTGGCAGAGTGGTCGGCTGTGACAGACTCTGTACAAGGTAGTGTAGGGGATGGTGTGCCTGCTGGAAACTCCAAATAGAAATCATTAACTCTTAAGAAAAAGACAGTTACTTTAGGGAAACTTTCATTTCTTTCCCTCCCAATCACTCCCCTCTGATAGTGGGAAGGAACTCTGGGAAAAGGGACTAGTGGAGGGAGGCCATGGAAGCGGGGAAGGGAGATAGGAATTTGTGGAAACATTAAAAAAGGGTAATAGGACAATGGAAAGAAAGGAGGAAAGTGTGAGGGAGGCAGGGAGGCCACAGGAATTGAGGAAGGGTATTAGAAGAAGTGGAACTTATCCAATTGGAAGGTTCTGTCATTATGGAGGAGGACTTTTGGATGCAGGACAGCTTGTGGGTGTTCTGTGCCCTTTGGGGTTTCAGGCTGTTGCTGGGGCTTGATGGTTGCTGGTTTTGGGTTCTATTTCCTTGGTAGGTGGAGAACTATGACGTGGATAATATTTTGCAGGTTTGCAGTTTGGTGCATGTTTACTGCCTTGCACTGGATCTCCACCAGGTCCTGTCACACTGGCTGCTTGGGGGCCTTTTATTCCTTGTATTATATTAAATTCCACAATTTCTCTGTCTCCTAGACTGTGGAGGTATTTCCTGGCGTTATTCTTTTTTATAGCAGTCTGATGAACAAACAGACCTTCTTCATTATCATTCCGGGTTATGAAACTGCATCTTCCCAGGGCTCTGTCTCAGCCGGTACCCGCGGGCACTGCCGGAGCGGGGTTTCCAGGGCGGTGGCGGTGGGCGGCGGCGCTTTCGCTGCCAGGACTGCGGTTCTGAGCCATCTCCCGGGGGGCTGCCCGCCCGCCCGGTGACTGCGGCGCCCCGGGGCCACCGGCCCTGCCCGCCCACCCTGGGCCCCGGTGCCGCGGGCTGGCGTGGCGCGGCCGGGCTCCGGTACCGGCTGGCTCGGTCCAGCCATGCGGAGCGGCAGCGGGGCGGCCGTGGGTTTCCCGTGGGGGCGGCAGTTCGGTGCGAGGGGAGACGCTCTTGGCACTTGTGCCACGTTAGCGGTCCCTTTTTCTGTTTACTGTCTTTGCTAGCACTGCAAGGCTGAACAAACTGTGCCTTTGGAAAAGGCTCACAGGCGGGGTTTCTTTCCCCTTGGCTGTAAGAGACTGGTGCAGCTGTAATTTGCCAATCAGGGGCCGCTCCTCTGACCCCACCACCCTCATTCCTGGGACCATGGGAACTGTGGGAGGATGGAAGGGGATACCCCCTGGCCCCTGCTGCGCCGTCTCTGCCATCTTCAGTTCATGAATGTGGCCATGCGGCTGCGGCCATGCAACAAGAACCTACTTGATCAACAGGAGTAAAGACAGGAGAACCTGGAGAAGTCTTTCCTTGTGACAGGGGAGGGGGTGCAGGGGCACGAAGAGGGGAACATGGAGGAGGGGTTTTCAGCTGGGGTTCACTATTTTTTAAATGTTCTTCAAGATTCAGAACGTATTTCATCATCATATTAAATAAAGGATGGAATTCTATTTTAGTTCTTAACTTTTCCCAAACTACTTCTAAAAATGTACCAGTTAGGACTGAGTTTTGCGAAATATAAGGAAAATGTTTAAATAACTAGTGTACAAAACACTTTAACTCCCCCTTGAAAAACAAAAATTTCCTTGAAGGAAAGACTTTTCAAGGTGAAGGTAAACTTTTTGTTCTGCATGGGGAGTGTTTCCTCCTTAACTCAAGTCTCTTCCTAACACCTGAGAGTAAAAGGAGGAAAGAACTAAAATTTCAAACTTACTACATTGGGATAAAAAACCTGAAATTCTCGGGGTGGTCTACTGCACATGTTTTCCAGGAGAAGAGGTCCCTGTTTGGGAGCCATTTGTTGCAGCCAGACTTGCTGCTAATAAAGTCCAGGGTAAGGAAGCAAAAAGAGCCTTTGCATAATATTTACAGATGTTTCATTCGGCTGCCCAGTAAGATGCTCAGGATCCCAGGCACTCTCATGGGGAGTCTCCAGGTTTCTGTCTGCCAAGGGACCCGGGGGTGAACTTGGTCTCAGGGCAGTACAAAGATAAGGGCCAGTCAGGGAACAGGGAGTGGCTCAGGGACAAGAACAGAGGAAGGAGTTAGTAGGGCCTCAAGAGCTTTTTGAAGGAAGCTTCTTGTGTCTCCCTAACCCAGGGGATGTCCCCCAGAGTCTCTACAATTTTGAGGTAGGGTTGAGCCCATTTGGGGTAAGATTGAGTTGTTTTCAGTGGGACTGAGTCATTTGGAAGTGACAGATCAATCCATCTTGGCTTTTGGAGTGCAAAGAGATGGAGAACACTGCCTGAAATCCCCCAAGAACCCACAAATCTTCCAGAATATGACCCCAAACCATAAATTTCCCCACAAATACCTCTGAAATAGTGGGACTTTAGACATCTCTGATCAATTTCTTTCTTTTTTGTCCTATATCAGGTATTTTTAAGGGATGAAGATAGATTAGAAGAAAATTAGGACCAAACCAAAAGGATAAGCAGGCAGGTGTCTTCCCAGCTCAGATCACAGGGAATGGGGGTCACCAGGGCTCTGACTAATGTGGGTCCTCCAATGGGGGTGGAGCTGGAACGGTGCCCAAAGCTCCTCCTGCATTCGGGGCACTCACAGGCTTCCATTACCTGTGCTTCTGCTGGTGTCTGGTCAAGTGAGAGCTCCTGGAGAAGCTCTTCCCACACTGGGGACACTCGTAGGGCCTCTCCCCAGTGTGGATGCGCCGGTGCCTGATCAGGGTGGAGTTTTGCTTGAAGCCCATCCCGCAGTCATGGCAGTGGAAGGGCCTCTCATCCGTGTGAATCCACTGATACTTGAGGAGATCTGAGCTGGTGTGAAACCTCTTCCCACACTCGGGACACTTGTAGGGCCTCTCCCCAGTGTGGATCTTTTGGTGGATGATCAGTTGGGACCTCCGACTGAAGCTCTTCCCACATTCCCCACATTCGTATGGCCTTTCCCCAGTGTGGATCCTCTGGTGACGGACCAAGTGGGACTTCTGGCTGAAGCTCTTCCCACATTCACCACACTCACAGGGCCATTCCCTGGTGTGGATCCTCTGGTGCTGGATCAGGCTGGAGCTCCAGCTGAAGCTCATCCCACATTCCCCACACTCGTAGGGCCTCTCCCCAGTGTGGATGCATTGGTGGGTGAAGAGTTCTGAGCTGCAGCTGCAGCCCTTCCCACACTCCCCACACTCGAAGGCCCATTCACCAGTGTGGATCATCTGGTGCTGGATCAAGTGGGAGCTATACCTGAAGCTCTTCCCACACTCCAAGCACTTGTGGGGCTTCTCCCCATCATGAAGCTGCTCATGGACCACCAGCTCTGAGCTCTGCCTGAAGCTCTGTCCACCTTCCTGGCTCAGGGTGGGTCTTTCTTCCTCAGAGCACCCTGGGCTGGGTTTGCAGCCCCTCCTCCTGCGGGATCTCCAGGACATTTCCTCCCCATTGGATTCCTGTGCCATGGCGTTGCTCAAAACGGCCTCTTCTGTGAGGTTCTGCCGTGGGGATTTGTCCTCCCTGGTCTCCATCCTCAGCTCCTGCTCTGGGGGAGGAAGGACAAGGAGAGGATGGGATTTGCCTCCGTGCCAGAGGAAAAGGGAAGGAGATCCCCCAGTGCCTCCCCAGCAGGATTGCACTGGCAGAAGCGTTGTCCTGCAGCTGGGGGCCCTGCTGGGCTGGAAGATGGAGCAGGAGAGGGGGGGAAAGGGGCACTGACTTCCTCCTCACCTGCCTGGGTGTCCTGGGGCATCTTCCTCTTCCTCACAGCCTTCTCCTCCATCTGGCCAAGGTTTGGGAATGGGAAATCCTGGTTTGGGGAAAAATAAGGAATGAGAACAGTGAATTTGAAGGTCCCTCTGCCCAAGTCCATCTCTAGAAGTCACCGGCCATCTGGGGTTCATAAAAACCTCCCAAACACCAAGATTCAGCCTTGAAAAGTACTCCCAGGACTTCCCCGTCCCTGGTCCCTCCCCTTTGGTGTTCGGGGTTCCCCCTGTCCCAGCTGCTGGGGTCACACTTGGATTGGGGGTCCCCCTTCTCCTCAGTGCCCACCCTCCCCAGTCTGCTGGGAGTTCCAGCAATCTCAAAAGTTCCCCCCTCTTCGCTCTCCCCATTTAGGGATGCTGGGGCTTTTTGGGCTCCCTTTTGGGTTCCCTTCTCCCCTCATTCTCTGCTTGGGGCTGCAGGGGCTCCAAGGAGTCCCCCCTGCCCCTCTCCAGGCTGTTGAGGCTCCCGCCAATGGCAGTGCTCACCCCTCTCTGGGCTCCCCACTTTGGGCTCCTGGGGGACACAGGACTCTGCTCCTCCAGGCTGCCTCTGCCGGCAGCCGCCACAGTCACCCCCAGGGGGCATTTTCCACTCAGCTTTGCACTGGGATCAGACTGGGATCAGACTGGGAGTGAGTAGGAGCCTGCGGAGGGGCAATCGAGACCATGTTAGGGGCAAATGGGATTTACTGGGAGCCATTGGGATCATGCTGAGGGTGACCAGGAGCAGCTGTGAGCAACTGGGATCATGCTGGAAGGAACTGTGAGGAACAAGTAGTGACTGGGTGCATGCTGAGCATGACTGGAAGCAACTGGGCTTATACTGGGATGAAATGGGATCATGCTGCAGGTGACTGGGATCATACTGGTAGTGAGTGCAACTGCACTGAGGCTGACTGGGAGTGGTTGTGAGCAAATGGGATCAGGCTGGAAGGAACTGGGAGTGACTGGGAATGTGCTAGGAGGAACTGGGGTACACTGGGAGAGACTGGGAGTGACTGGAACAAACGTGAGGGTGAAAGGGAACAACTGGAACCATGTGGGGCACAACTGGTTCATACTGGCAGGGACTGGGAGCACACTGGGCTCATCTCTGGATCATACTGGGAAGGACTGGACTAATACTGGGAGTGTCTGACAGTGACTGGGAACACACCCTGCACATCATCCCTGTACTGGGAGGGACTGGGAGCAACTAGCATCATACTGGGACTGACTAGGTTGATCTAGCTGGAGGCAACTGGGAACATACTGGGAGAGATTGGAAGTAACTGGGATTATACTGGGACCATACTGGGAGTGCTGGCATGTGACAACAATCATACTGGAGCTTACTGGGCTCATATTGGTGTTGAAAGGGATCAACTGGGATCACACTTTGGGCTACTGGGAGTAACTGAGAGAAACTGGGATCATGCTGCAAGCAAACTGGAGGAACTGGGAATGACCAGGGGCATGCTGGAGGCAACTGGGATATACTGGGCATGGCTGAGATCATACTGGGATAACAAGCACCTTCCTGGGACCACTGGGAGTGTTTGGGAATGACCACAGACGTGCTGAGGGTAACTGGGATATACTGGGAGTGTCTGTAACCATACTGGGGATGACTGGGAACACAGTGGGAACAACGGGGACCATGCTGGGGAGAACTGGGACCCCATGCTGGGAGCAACTGGAAGTGAGTGGGAGTGACTGGGTCTACACTGGGGGTAACTGGGCATAACCGGGACCATACTGGGAGGGTCTGGGATCATATGGGGAGTGACTGGGACTACACTGGGGGCAACTGGGCATAACTGGGAGGGTCTGGGATCATATGGGGAGTGAGTGGGACTATACTGGGGGCAACTGGGATCACACTGGGAGGAACATGGAGCAACTGGAACCATACTGGGGGCAACTGGGATCATGCTGGGATCACAGAGGAAGAGGCTGGGCCCATGCTGGGATTGTCTGGGATCGTCTGGGATCATACTAGATCTTACTTGGAGCAACTGGGACTGCACTGAGGGTGACTGGGAGTGGCTGTGAGCAACTGGGATCAGGCTGGAAGCAACTGAGCATACCTGGGAGTGACTGGGAACATGCTGGGGGCAACTGGGATACACTGGGAGAGACTGAAACCACAGTGGGGGTAAATGGGAGCAACTGGAACCACACTGGATGATAATGGGAGCAGCTGTCCCCATGCTGGGGTCATACTGGAATGGCTGGGATTGTACTGGGGGTGACTGGAATAGTACTGGGGATATCTCAGAGTGACTGGGATCCTGCTGGAACCAGACTGGGAGTGACTGGAAAGGTGCTGGCTGTGACTAGAACCATGCTGGAGGTGACTGGGAGAAACTGGGCCCACACTGGGAGTGACAGGGAGTCACTCTGGGCATGACTGGAACCATACTGGGAGTGACTGGGAGTGACTGGGGTCATACTGGGATCATACTGGGTGTCAGTGGACCCTGACTGGGGATTACTGGGAGCTACCCAGGCCCATGCTGGGAGCTCTCTGTGCACACACACTGGGAGGAACTGGGAATGACAGGATGCATGCTGGTGATGACTGGGATGTCCTGGCAGTGACTGGGATAAAACTGGGGGCAGCTGAACTGAGGTAACTGGGAGTGCCTGGCAATGACTACGAGAATGTTCAGGGCAACTGGGATATACTGGGAGTGTCTGAGACCATGCAGGTGGGGACTGGGACCAGACTGGGAGCCACTGGGAATGTGCAGGGGGGAACTGGGACCACACTGGGGCAACTGGGGGCAAGTGTGAGTGACTGGGGCCCTGCTGGGAGAGACTGGGATAATACTGGGAGTTACTGGGACTATACTAGAGGCAATTGAGAGAACTGGGAACACACTGGATGAAAGTGGGAGCAACGGGGACCGTGCTGGAGGCAAATTGCGTCATAATGGGGAATGACTGGGAGTGACTGGGCTCATGCTGCGAGCGGCAGGGATCCTGCAGGGAGGGAGGGGCAGTGACCAGGATCATACTGGGAGCACTGGGCTCATGCTGGGAGCAGCAGGGATACTGCAGGGAGGGAGGGGCAGTGACCAGGATCATACTGGGAGCACTGGGCTCATGCTGGGAGCAGCAGGGATACTGCAGGGAGGGAGGGGCAGTGACCAGGATCATACTGGGAGCACTGGGCTCATGCTGGGAGCAGCCCCTGCCGGCCCCCCAGCCCTGAACCCCTTTCCCGGCCGTGCCGCCCCTCCAGCCCCAGCACTGCCAGGGGTCCCCCCCTCTCGGGGTCCCCCTTTGGCTTCTGGGGCTCTCCTCTCTCCGGGCTCCTGCTCAGGGAAGCCGCGGCTATCCCGGGGCTCCCCAAAACTGGGGTCCCCCCGCCGGGGCTCTGCCACCACCGCCCCCACCGGGACCCCCATAAACACCTCCCGGGGACCCCCGATGTCCCCCCGAGGGCCATCTGTGGCTCGGCTTTGCAGCCCTGCCAGCTCCAAACATCCCCCCAAAACCCCAAACCCCGGCACCCCCGGGGTATTTGGGGCGAGCTCCCCCTGCCCGGGCACCTGCGGGATGGGGGGCGATGCTCCCGGGGTGCTGCGAGCTCGGGCAGCACCGGAGCCGCGCGGCTCCCCGGCCTCTGCTGCTGCTGCTTCCCGCTGCCGCTCCGCCTCTTCCTCCCTCCCTCCTCCTCCTCCCCCGCTCCCGGAGCCCTCGCAGCAGGAGCGGGGATGGAGCCGGGACAGGTCAGAATGCAGAGAGAGCTGGGGGGGATGCCGGGAGTGGGAGTGACTGGGCTGTGCTGGGATCATCCTGGGAGCAGCTCCTGGGCGATTGAGTTCCACTGGGATCATACTGGGAGTGAGTGGGAGCAGTGCAATGGCTCCAGCGCTGGGGCTGGGGGCACTCCTGGGGGCGGTGAGAGGTGAGGGGGATCCCAGGCACCGGGACTCTCTGATCGCCCGTCCTGGAGCACTGGGGGCCCTGAACCCCCTTTCCTGGGTGCCGCCATCCCCCCTGCACCGCCATTTCCGGGCATGGGTTCCCCCCTGCACCCCCATTCCCGGGCATGAGTTCCCCCCCACACTCCCATTCCCAGGCATGGGTTCCCCCCGTGAAATAAATGGGCAGGAGATCTTTCTCCTTTTTAATGCCTTTATTAAAGAGATTCAGCTCAGGTGGGGAGAAATCGACGGGTTGCGCCCACGCCGCCGCTGTCCCCAAGAGTGGCACGGAGGAGGAGGGTGATGAAGCCTTGTCCGCTGGTCTGCAGGCAGAGCTGGGGACTGCGTCCTCATGGGAGATTGGCAGATTCCTCCTTTTCGGTCCAACACTTCGGGTCCCCTCCTTAGTGAACATCCTTTCAGGTCAGGGTGAGAAGCAAAAAGGATTCAAGCAGGCACTGGACTTCGCGCCCATCCTTAGACATCACCTAGGGTCCCCTAATTCTATATTGGTTCGTTGTTTTTAGGGGTTTTCCTTGAAAATGGGAAGATTTGGTGCAATGCATTTCTCATCTGCATACGAGGTCTCAGGCCACTCCCGTTCTCCTGGTGCTGCCGTGTCCAGGTGTTGCTCCCGGGCAAGCATCAGGAGGACAATGGCTAATCGCCAACCATTGACGGGCAATTAAAGAAGAACTCTTAACAATGAAGCTAATTTAACAGCAATTGGTCTAACCGGTTTTAGCTCTGTAACCTTAAACAAAAATAGATAACTTTTTATTCATAACACCCCGCACCCCTTATCTGGCACCAGCACCCCCCACACCCCTTTCCCGGCCATCCCACCTCTCCCAGCCCCCAGAGCCCCTTTTCCTTCCCCCAGAGACCCCCTGGGCCCCTATTCCTGCCTTTCCCAGCCCCCAGCTCCTCCTTTCCTCAACACCGAGGACACCCGGGACCCCTATTCCCAGCCATCCCGGCTTTTCCCACCTTTTTCTGGAAATGGGGACACCAGGGACCCTTGGAGTCCCCTTTCCTGACTATAGTGGCACAATTAAGCCCCCCAAACTCCTCCTGGGTCCCCCCTAAGCCCCCAGTGGGCATTCCTGGGAGTTCCCCTGTGTTCTCCCATTCCCAGGACTTTGGGGCTCCCCCCTGACCTGTCCGTGCACCCCCAGATTTCCTCCACAGCCCCCCTCTGATGGTGGGGGGGGGGGGATGCCCCCCTGCGTGCAGCAGATTCAGCTGTGAGGGGAGTTCGGGGGGGTCCCTTAGCTTTTGGGGTCCCCTGGGATTTGGGGTGACCCCCGGGCCCCTAGGATCTCCCTGAACATGGTGACGCTGCCCGTGCACAGTGAGAAGGTTCATTCCCGGCATGGGGTCCCTGCTCTGTCACCAGCATCGCCCGGGAACCCCCAAACCTCCCGGGAACCCCCAAACCGTCCCAGGAATTGCCAAACCCTCCCGGGACACCCCAACCTCCCCGGGACCCCAGAACCCTCCCTGGGCCCTCCAAAAACTCCCCAGGACCGCAAAACCCCATACAGAACCCCCAAAACCTCTCAGGACATCAGAATTCCCACAGGACCTCCCAACACACTCCAGACCCCCCTGAGAAGGTTGATAACCATCAGGGGGTCCCATCTCTGTCACTGGCAGGTACCCCAAAACAGCCTCGGGTTCCCCCTGGGATCGCCTAATCTGCCCCTTTGGGAACCCCCAAAAATCCACTGTGACCCCAAAAATCCCCGGGATCCACAAAACCCCCCAGGAGCCCCTCACGATAGTTTATACCCAGCACGGGGCCCCCATTGCCATCATCAGCATCAGCTAGGTACCCCCACACCCTCCCGGGACACCCACACCCCCGCCCGCTCCGCTGCTGGAATCAGCAGGAATGGTGTTGCCCTTTTAAGGGGAGTTATAGTGGGACCCGACCATAGCGGGGGCCCGTAAAGTGGTGATGGTAGAGATGTTATAAATGAGAAGCTTGACGAGGCCAATATTCAAGCAGCAATCAATTTATTAATTAATATGGTAAAGTATGAGCAATACAGCGCTGGGTACAGCGGGGGAAATTTTCCCTCCAACTGCACGACAATAGTTGGGGCTTACAGGTATTTATAGGGGTACTCATAAGCTTTCTCAGCAGTTTCTATTCCAAATTTTAATGTCACAATTCTATACACAATTGTGATTTAGTTTTTCTCAGGATGTATCTCAGAAAAGAGTATCCCCAGATGGTGGGGTCCAGCTTCCGAAAGAAGAAAGAAGTCTCCAAGCTGGTGAGGTACAGATTCCAGATGTGGGTCCACCTCTTAAATGCAAGGATTATAAATCTCATAACAGTGATGAACAGCTTCCCTTGGTGGAAAATATCACTCCTTGAGTTGATATTCATCTCCCCTTCTCAAGCTGCTTTTCACTGTTTTGTTAAGGCATCGAGATAAGCATGTTTCCTTTTTATATATTCTAAAGCTATAGTTGCAAAGATCCTTACTACAAGCAATATTCTAAAATTCTACTTCAAAAGGTTATTATTGCAAAACCCCTTTTAGCTAGAAGCAAAAAGTTCCTGTGAAACAGCAACATCCTTAAAGCTTTAATTCGAACGCTCCTAAATCAAGGCGCAGTGCAGCTGAAACGGGCATCCCAG